TTCAAATTTGGCTGAAGAAATGAGGTTTTTAAGATACTTCAGTGTTAAAAGAGAAAATAATCAAAGGTCCTCATCCATCCCAAGCCTGGTGAAGCTCTTCGTGCTTATGGGTATAGATTGGAAGCCTTTGCATCTTTTCTTTGTAAGCTGGTTTCAGTTCCAAAGCCTCCGTGCCTTTTAAACATATTCATTTTGCAAGTGACTAAATCATGATAATCTGATAACCAAAGCAAAGGCACAGGCATCCCCCTTTGGGCTGTTTCCTCCTCCACTGGGGTATCAACATAGGACCATGGCTTTTCTTGCTATGGAGGCACCTGTGCACAGGTTTGCAGCTTCCTGGAAGCAATCTCACCTACAACCACTGGTCCCCTGCCTCCAAGCTCCACACTGTGCTGAGCCTTGAAAGGTTCATAGGTTGGAACCTTTGCACCCAAAGTAATTCAAAGTGGCAGAGCCTTAAGAGATGGGGTCCAGTAGGACTGATTAGATCATTGATAGGATTATGTTCAAATTGGATTAATGCCCACCATAAAGGGAATGCTTATGTATCTCCTTTGGCATGCAGATCTGTTCTGTAATCTTTTATTTTCTCACCCTCTCTCTTCTCTCTCTCTCTCTGTGTGTGTGTGTGTGTGTGTGTCTTGTCTCTCCTCCCCTCCCCTTCCTCTCCTCTCCTCTTTTCTCTCTTTGTCTTCTTTTTCATGTACACAAGCAATGTTATTTACTAAGAAGCCTCTATCAAAAGTAATGCTACCTCCATGTACATTGATATTCAGAACCACCAACTAAATTGACCTTTTTCCTTTATATGGTATTCAGCCTCGGTTTCTTTGTTACAGACACACAAAGTGAACTAAGGCATTAATTCTTTGTCTCATAAGAATGCTTGTAATTATATTGAATCTACTAATGATAATTTGCCTATTTTGGGATCCTTATTTAGTCACATCTTCAAATATTTTGTAAAATAAAAATTACAGAAAGGAATCCTTTCTAAACTAAACCTTCCTTCATGGCCCCAACAGAATAGAATAAAAATAAAAATGGAAGCACTTATCCAATAGTTACCAAGATGAAACTGTGTTGTTTAACTGATTTATTCCTGGGAATTCAGTTATAAAAAGGGAGGCAAGTTCCAAAACTGGTCAGTTTCATTTGGCCTGAACATGAGGTCTCCTCTGTCTTAATCCTTGTAATCAAACAGCTTACCTAACCTAATGCTAAGTCTTTATTTTCCTATTTTTTTCTGCCCCTGGCTTATAAGAAAGTAACTCTGAAATGGCCACTCTAGTTTTGTTTTCTGTTGTTGTTTCTCTTTGACTAAACACTTTTTGGTTTTAAATAACAACCTCCCACTTGACTCATTCCAATACTAATTCTATTTTATGAAAGGAAGTTTTATCCAATTATAAAATTGAAAATTGTTAATGAAGATGATTAAATTCACTTATAATTTTATTTTTGATAAGTATTTTTGTATATAAAGTTAACCTCCATCCTAAGGCTGTTCTTCAGCAAAATGTGTCATATTCAGGGATTGTTAGAACCAATATTGTAGATAAGTCAGTTTCTCTAAATTATTTAACCAATTTATTAATTAATCCAAGTTAATTAATTCTCTTACAATTCCACGCACTGCAGTTTTCTAAAAAAGTTGATTCTAAGACATACATGAATGATTTAAAGAGTAATGACTAATTTAAAAATTGAAGGCAAATTTGAGGAGTGGCTCTATGAGAGCTCAATCATTATTATAAATCCACAGTGATTACAATGCTATGGTGATGCCTGGCCTGGTAATAAATGAATAAATAAATAAACATCTCAGAAATGAAGAATTCAGAAATAAACATACATTCATATGTTCATGTAATTTGTATGTATGTGATAGGGATATCAGAAGAAATCCTAATAATGTCTGTTATAAATTGATAGAAAGTGATATTTATAAGTGTGCAGTTGTGAGCTGATATGGAAAATACCTGTCTATTATAGTGTCTGTTCACACTGTAATAGCAACCAGTCCAGTTTTGCTGGTTTGTTTTAATGAAAAAGATCAACTAATAGATGCTTTAAGCACTGTCATAGAGAAGCTACTAGGACCTTAGAAAAGTCAAATATTTCTAAAACATTAAACACAAATGCACACACATATGCATGAACACACACACATATACACACACAAATGCAAACACTTGCATTCACACACCTTCCTTCTAAATGAGTACATTTAGATCAACATTGAAGATGATCTGACTATATACATTGAATTAAAATGAATAAATGATGAGATAACTTGTACATACCTGCCCAAATGAGAAAAATAAATAAGCCAAGCAGCAAGGCGAAACAAAATTTCTGAGGCTTTTAAGTCCTTTCAAGGATGATGTGCTATGCTTCTAATTTGTTACAAATGCTTTGTGACACTTTGAAGCTTTCCTAAAAGCAGCCAGCATTCAGTCTGGAACCAAATTCTCCTCTCTTACGTGTACACCCACAAGGAATGAGTGCAACCAAGCCACATCTGTGAAAATGTGTTAGGAGTCATATTTGTAATGACCCCAAGCTAGAATTAGTTCAAATACCCAGAACAGTAAAATTCTAAGTTGCATTATATAGAGCATAGACAGCCTTGGGAAGGCTCTTGGGTTCTATTGCCATCAGACATTCTGCTAGATTACCATACTCTGTTTGTCACTGAAGGATAGCATTTATACAAGGTCCCAAATTTAGTACAATTAATAAATCAGGATAGACATTACATTTTTAATGGCTGTGATTTGAAAGTGATAGGATGGACTGTAGGACATTGAACACACTCCATTACTTAATCTGGATAGTAGTAAATGCCTGTGCTTACTGGTCTTTTTTTTTTTTTATTGTCAGTAGACTTTACACTTATGATTGACAACATGAATTCTAAGCTTTGAAAGGAAAACTAAATGTTTTAAGGTTAAAAATGTAAAGGGAACCTCCAGTGTAAAGATATTATACCTGAAAACACCCCCACAGTTACATTCTTAGAGCTGCTACTAAATTTGGATGTCTCTACTTTTTTTTTAAAGAGTTTTAATTTCTTTTCTGGATTTTTCTCTAGCATTGTCTGGACACATCAACCAGATTTCTGAATCTCTGTAGCAGTTGACAAAGTTGAGGACAATCTGATTGATTCTTCATCTTCTGGGAAGTTAATCATGCAGATACCAAAATTCTTTTTAAAAGATGTGAATAATACTGGCCGAAACACGGCCTTCTTGAAATACCTGTTTGGGGATTCTGAGGATAAATGGTCTGGTTTAAAAGCATGACCCTTGTTTTACACAAACTTGTAAAGACTCAGTTTTGTTCCAGTGCATATCCCAAGGTTACTGCAATAACATTCAATGAAAGAAGTGTAAAATACGAATGGAATTGTGCCAACAACATTTAAGATGGTGGTTCCACATTCTTTATGAACAGGACACTGCAGCCTGCTCTGAAGTACTCACCTGGAAATCACCCTTCATTCTCTAGGGGTTTTACTAAACCTACTGTTTCCATAGCAACTGTGGATATGTGATATCAGAATTTCAGGGTAGGCCTTGAAGGATGAAACAAAGGGAGTATTGACCATCTTAAAAGAATAAAAGCATCCTGCATTGATAGTACTATTTATCAAAAAACAGAGAAAACAGACATGTTCTATAATTCTTGTTATGCTTGGAAATTGCAAATAATCTGTTTTCCATAAGCATGCAACATTTGGAAGTCAATATTTCTTTCCATGTATCAGGTCAGTTAGAAAACATAGGTGTTTGGGGAATTCATTAACATCTACTTTTTCAAGTTGATGGTGGAAGAATTTATTTGGCCAAATCCTTGAAATGTGACTTTTGCCCATAGAGAGTTGGGTAATGCTTCAAAGGAACAGGCATAATGGAGGAGTTTTCCAGACAGATGTAAACTGTACAAATGTAAATATTTTCATATTTGTGGATTTCTCTGTTGTTTAAAATTCAAAATTGAGCAATGATTTATATAAATGCATTTGGGGTGTTTCTAATACAAAGCATTTTAGTAGCAATCGTTGTAAGGTAGAGGGTGGCCTATTTTCTTCAGCCAGGAAAAACATTGGAAGTCTAATTTTGGAGGTTGTATTTGATTCTATTAAAATTTATGCCATGATTAAGTGATTTTCTACATTTATTTATTTGTCTTTTGATGGGGATATGCTTTTGTATGTGCTTGTGTGAGCACATATGCGTTCATAATTTGCTTTGAGGCTAGAGGAGAACATTGGGTGGCCTATTTAATACACTCAAAATTCTTCCTTTGAGGCAGAATCTCTCACTAAACCTAGAACTATGGTACAGCCAGAAAATTCCAGTGATCTCCCTGACTCTGCCTACTATTATAGGAGGTTAAAATTAACAGATTTATACATATAATTGAAAGCAAGAACTCTGTGCATAAGAGAAAAAGTTAAAATATTTTTAGGTCAAACAAATAAAGGGAACCATTTATGTATACATTGTGTCTTCATAAGTACTACCACAGACACTTCCTGAGAACCCATTTCTGTCATCACTATTATTTTGTTTTGATTTGATTTATTTTGTGGATTTTTATCTAAGGTTGCCTAGATGTGTAAACATATTTTGCACTGCAGTTTTTTTGTTACTTTGTGTGGCCTGTGAATTTGAACTCTGATCCTGATGCCTGTCAGAGCTCTTGCTTGGTAAATGATAAATGAGTCCTGAATACGTTTTAAAGTTGATGATGTCAACTAGAGGGATTGACATTTTCTTCTGTTTTTAATTTTTGATAGAATGTAATAAACAATTATGCTAGTCTAGCAAAGTGCCATTATGATACCTTCGACCACACTCACTCTGGCAGATGGTTAGCTTCCAGTACCAGGCATGATTTCCTTTTAGTTAAGTGGTCCTTAAGTCCTTTTAGACAGCTTTTGTTTGTCAACAGAATTTAAGTCCCATGTGTTGCACTTTGTTGTTATCTTGCCATGCTTGTTTTAAAGAGAATCCATGGCCTGGAAGGGATCAAAATGGCTATTAGTTTAGTGGATTCATTGGCTAAATCATTGAGTTTTTTGTTGTTGTTGTTTGTTTGTCTGTGTTTTTTTTCCACACAGGGTTTCTCTGTAGTTTTGGAGCATGTCCTGGACCCTAGCTTTGTAGACCAGGCTGGCTTCAAACTCAGAAATCTGCCTGCTTCTGCCTCCCAAGTGCTGGGATTAAAGGCATGCGCCACCACCGCCCAGCTCAATTAAATTATTGTTAATTTGGTGACTTTAGTTTAGGAAAAAAACCTCTTACAATGACCATTAAACTTGCTAGAATATTGTCTTCTGATAGTTTACGTTTCTTCACTTGTTCTTCAGAGAAAGTTAAATTCTCAAAGGGTTTTCCTTACAATTGCTGTTCATGAAAGACCTTTAAAATGACCAAATTTATTTATATCACACATACACACATGGGTTTAAATAGCGTATGTAGTTACTTATCATATAAGAACTCTTTATTTCCCATGTAATACAGTAGCCAAGCTCATAGTACCTCGCAACCCATGAAATAATAATTGTATTGAGCTAGAGGGACTTTGTTCAAGCAATGTTTTTTTATACTTTAAAGTGCTTCCTACTATCTGTTCTTAAAAAATGTTACATGCACACACACACATACACACACACACACACACACACACACACACACCTCAGACAAGTTAAGTGTGTCTTAACAGGAATAGCTGTGTTTATTGTGTATTCTCCCTGTTTTGGACATGGGGCTGGGTGAGACTGACTGCCTTTTGTAACTGTCACGGAAACTTTAAACGTGAGTGATTTTATTCCCAGTTTATTGAGGAGTATAGACAGGATTGAGTTCTTGGCTGCCATAACCTCCCTTGGGTGTCAAATCCTTGTTTTGCTGACCACAGACATAAAGCCTTTAAAGATCTCCACAACACTGTATTTAGGATTAATGGCTGCCAAAAGCCTCCAACCCTGAGAGACTCTCATATTGCACCCATACAGGTGGTGATTACATTATGGAAAAAGGCATCTTTTCATAATGTCAGAAACTACATAGACACAAGTCATTTGTGACTAGAAAGAGAACCAAACACATGTTCAAGGTGAAGCCTGATCATTACCCTTGTCTCTTGGGTGGTATGGCCTTCAAGTATCACAGCCAGTTTCCCCTGAGACCAAAAAGTGCCTTAGAAAATACCACCGTGGTCTGCATTCACTGTTGCCATGGAGCTATGCATACTTTCCATTGGTAGAAGGTCAATCCTGTACTTAAATGGAGCACACATCGAATGTATATAAAGTACAGTATACTGCTGTTTCTTTGCGGGAGGTTTATTACAGGGTTTGCTATCCAGCTTAAATTAGATGTCTGGAGAGAAATTCTGCTTTTAAGTTTAGGGAATTTTATAAAATTCTTTCAGATTGACTGTGTTTAAAATTCCCTGAATTTCCTGAAAGCATTTGAAGTGTGTGTGTGTGTGTGTGTGTGTGTGTGTGTGTGTGTGTGTGTAGTGACTCTTACACTATCTATTCTGAAAGGAAACCCTTTCAACCATCTCGAAAGCAACTTTCTTTTATGTGTATGAGAAGTTGTGTGCAATTATTTTATAATAAGCCCATTTCTGTAAACCACTTTAATTCTGAGACTTTCAAATGTCATTATTGTAAGTGCCAGTGCCTTTGAAATGGTCTTTGGACTCTGCATGGCTTTCTAACGGCTATCAAACTGGATTACCTCAGTGGTCAAATTCAGCTGGCAGGTTTCTCTGGCTTTTTCAGAACAGTCCTTTCCATCCCAGATACTGCTGATGTGTCCACACAGCCCACATTGGCAACAGAATTCACCCCTTCATCCTACCCAGAGAGGAAAGAAATATTCCTTTGAGTATATTTGCGTAAGTGGATTAAGAATGCCTATGAATTGTGCCTGATCACGGAGGTCAATGGATGCTTTCCTTTGTCAGGGAATCTTTAGACATGAAGTTTATTAGACTACATTTTAACCTAACAGACCACCTAGATCATTTTAGTCTCCACCCATACACACTCAGAGAGATTTCATAACAATATGCGAGCTAACTTAGTGCTCTCTGGACACCAGTGCTTTAGTATAATTCAGTGAAAGTCTATGATCTTTAAGACTGATAACCTCTGATTTGCTGTGTCATTCTTTGTAGACATATCCACGTGTGTTTATGCTTATATACATGTGCACATTCATGTGTGTGTATCAAGCATCAGGCACGTGCTTGATTCAGTTACTTTTGTAGAGATCAGAAGACAGCATAGGGTGTCAGTCTTTCCCTCTACTTATTTTTCTTTTTCTTTTTTTCTTTTTTTTGAAACCAGGCATTCTTTTTTGTTGTTACAGATGCACACCATTGTGCTGGCTTTTTCCAAGAGGATTCTGGGGATTTCAAACTCAGGTCCTCACATTTGAGAGAGCAAGTGCTCATAGCCAGCTCATCTCTTCAGCTGTTATATGGGTATATTTTAAGAGTTTTTAAAAATATCAAAACATTAATCTATTTGATTTACATGTCTGCACCAAAGATAAAACCGTATGGCAAAAGGATATTTTGACTCATGGCTTTTGCCTCATCATATATGTATACAGAGAAGAAATGTTCAAGATTCAGTGAAGACTAAATTCTGGTTCTCATCTTGCCTTGGGTAGCTCTAACCTTAGGGGCATCATTTTACCCTCCCTGACCTTTAGTTCTCTCATCTGTGAAATTAGTGGGTTAGACTATGACATCTTGAAAATTCCTTTTACTGGTAACATTTTGTGATTATAGAACAATAGTCTTGATTCGCATTTGGAACCTAGAATGTCTATCAAGGTTTATAGGCCTGTGCTTGAGACACTATTCTTATATTTCAAGAGCTTTCCTTAGTCTGCTCTGTGGCTTCCCTCCCTGCTTTCTGCTATCAGCTGACTGAAGACATGAAGGGGCGATTATTGTTTAACAATCACAAAGGTGCAAAGTAGACTCTGACATGTGCTAATTCAAGATTTCATCATTTTCATTCCCCAAATGTGAAAATTCTTCTCTTTAATGAATATAATCATTAGAGAATTTCATACATTCAGATAGTATATTTTGGTACTATTCACCCCTCCCCCACATAATTCCAACCTCTGCCTTTTTGCAACTTCACATCTTTTGTTTTGGAATAACTCACTGAGTCCAGTGGGCTGTCCATATACTCATGGGTGTGGGGCATCCACTGAAACAAGGTGGACCTAACAGAAACTGGCTATTTTTCCCCAGAAGCTCTCAACTGCCAACAGCATCTCAGCTATGGAAAGGGGTCTCAATTCATGGTTTGCTCTTGGGCAGTTGCAGCTGCTATGAGTTCGTGGTTGCTGCCTTTTGCAAGGTCCTTGGAGATGAACAAAGTTTATATCAGTTAAAAGGAATTCAATGAGAAGTTTGACTGCCACTCTCTCTTTAATGTGTGTTCTTTTGCTTCTGTATCTGTTCTCCAGATGTGAAACGGAAGATAATATTCTGCGAATTAACCTAAATGAGTTGAGTATTCTAAACTATGTGAAGCTACAGCCACTCACTGTCATTTAGTCACCAAAATGTTTGCTCTCTGTATGACTATGGAGAACTGTCACATTTCCTTTATAGGAGGGAAGAGAGCAAGCATCTATTCAATCCAGATACCAAAACAACTGACACCAAAACAACCTCACCAAATCTACTTTTGTTTGAATGAAACAGTTATTGCAGTTACTTAGGAGAAGCATGAATGAAGAGTTACTTACAGGACTATAGGTGACTTAAAAGTATCCCTTGGACTCAAAAGGCAAGGCAAGGATGGATGATGATACCCAGAAGCTGAATTTCTGTCCAACTTGCAGACAGCTCCCTTGCAAATGCTTCCTGCAGGGAAGTGCCTTGAGAATTTTATAACTTTCTGAGGTTCAGGTTCTTGAGTCTTAAAAATTTCATTAGCTTCCAAGGCCTTATAAGGTTCCCTCCTCCCTCAACAAGAGAATGTTTCAATTCAGAACAAAACATCTATGCAACAGAAGCAATATGCTTGCTTTGCTCTGGATTCTAGAGTCTAGAAAAGCAAGAGTAAAAGAACACAAGCTGAACCAAAAGGTAAGAGGTGAAAGGCTCTCTCATGTTGGTGGCTCCAGAAGCCATGTGATTCCATGCTCTGCAGAGGAGGGACTTGGAATTAGACTAGATAAAAGTGTTGGACATTCTCAGAAGCAACTTTTCTGTGAACAAGAAGATGAAACATAGTGAGAGAAGACAATGCATTTCTTAGCTGGGATCGAATTAACTCTCTACAGCATAGCTTAGTCTTCTGTCTCTGGATCTCATAGTTCACAGCCATGCCAAGGCTCTCTGGGAAGGCTCACTTCAGGGTTGATTGACAGGACACATTTTCTGGTGCTGCTGGCTGAGCTTCAGTTCCTCAGGAGCTGTTGGCTGCTGCTTCTGCCAAGTCGTGCCACATGGGCCAGTTCCATGTCTGGCAGCAGGATAGTTGGCATCATCAGAACCAGTGAGAGAGGGCAATTAATCTCCATATTTCCTTGGATGAGTTTATCAGGTATATTTTGTGCATGTGTGGATACATTTATAATTATTTCTATTGTTGTATTCTGTCCACCTTTTATTAGCATAGTATTTGCCTCTTTAGTTCCTCTTTGTCATTTTGATAAAGAATTCATTTCCCAGTCTGCTTTAATTTTCTTCTTTGGCTTGTCTTCCTCTTGGTTACCATGTTATCTTTAAATATACTAATACTATTTTTCATTTTTTAACAGAAGGCAAATTGATCATTATTTATGCAACAATACAAGAACTTTCGTACATTTTAACTATAGGGTGTGGTGATATTTTGTTTGTGTTCTAACAAATAAAGTTGGCTTGGAAATTAGAGTGTGGAAACACACCTTTAATCCCAGCACTAGGGAGAAAAAGAAGGAAGTGATATGGCTGGGCAGAGAGAGGAATATAAGGCATGCAGAGACAGGCTCTCCCCTCTCCCTTTTCAGGCTGAGGAGTTGACTAGGTAAGAGTGGCTGTGGCTTGCTCCTTTGTCTCTGATCTTTCAGAATTTACCACTATATATGACTCCAGGTTTTTATTATTAAAACGAACTAGAATTCATGCTACAATAAGGGAATCCACATTTCCTATTTTTCTTTTATTGTTGGTTGCATGGATATGGGAATCATCACAGCACATTATGGCTAGTAACGCTATGCCTTCACCAAGATGCCCAAAGCCCAATCCCTAAAACCTAGGAGCGTGTGACTTTACAAAATGGATTTCCAAATTAAGAACAACATTCCTATTGTAGGCAGGTATGATGGCTGGTGAGGAAAGCACGAGCTGTGGTGGTACATTTTGAAGAAAGATGTAAGTAGCATCTAGAATCTGGAAAAGTGCAGAAGCAAATATGCCCTTAGAAGCATAGAGGGTGATGACTGCTATGCTCTACTTAGTAATAATGAGATTTTGCCATAATAAATTCCACCAGATATATTTTCTTTTGAAATATAAAACAATAAAATTTTGGTGTTATTAATGCATTATATGTTCAGTAATTCTTTTATCTTTTAATTGCTTTTAATCTTTTAAAATTAAAATGCCATGGCATCATTTTCCCCTTCTCCTTCCTTGCCCATCCCTTCCCATTCATTCCTCCCCTGCTCTCTCTCAAATTCATGGCCTCTGTGGTGGTTTGAATATGAATGGTCCCTATAAGCTTACCAAGTTGTATATTTACTCAACAGTGATGGAACTGTTTGAAGGGATAAAGAGATGTGTCCTTGGAGTCGGTGTGGCCTTGTTAGATGATGTGTCCCTGAGGGTGGGATTTGAGGTTTCAAAAGCCCACCCCAGGGCTCAGTCTCTCTCTTTCTCTGCTTGTGCATCACGATGTAGCTCTCAGCTACTTGTTAGCCTGCCACACTGTTTGACATGATGACTAACCTCTGAAATTGCAACCAGGCTTCACTTAAATAATTTTCTTTTCTAAGAGTTGCCTTGGTCCTGGTGTCTCGTCACAGCAATAGAATAGTGACTAAGACAGCCTTGATTTCTTTAACAGTTGTTACATATATACGAACATACATTCCTAAATATATAAAAAAATCCCATGCAGTCTGTATAATGCTAGTCATATGTATGTTTTTGATTGGTATTGGACAACAGTCAGTGTGCTCTTTTGGGGGGAAGACTATATTCTCCTGCGCTCAGCATTCGTTAGCTGTCTACAGATCTTTGCCCAGGTTTCCAGCCCCAAGAGATTTCTCTTGTCCATGTTAGCATGTCTGGTAGTTTAATCTTTTAATTTTTTATTTGTGTATGTGTGTTTTATTTAAATTAGAAACAAGCTTGCTTCACATGTCAATTCCAGCTCCCTCTCCCTCCCCTCCTTCCCCTAACCCCACAAACCCCAATCCCCCACCCCACCCCCCTCCACTCCCCAGGGAGGGTGAGGCTCTCCCTGGGGCATCTCCAAAGTCTGTAATATCATCCTGGGCAGGGCCTAGGCCCTCCCCCATGTATCCAGGCTGAGAGAGTATCCCTCCATGTGGAATGGGCTCCCAAAGTCCATTCTTACACCAGGGATAAATACTGATCTACTACCCAAGGCCCCATAGATTGCCAAGGCCTCTTCATGGACACCCATGTTCAGGGGGTCTGGATCAGTCCCTGGCAGAGTGTAAATAACTATTCTTTTAAAAATTTATTTTCTATATGTGTTTATTCATTTTGTGTGAGTATGTACATGGAAGTAAGAGGACAAACTATGAGAGTTGGTTCGGTTCTCTCTTTCTGCCATGTAGGTTACACAGATTGAACTTAGACTT